TATATATATATATATATATATATATATATATATTGCTTTGATTTCTCCTATGACCTTAATCAACATTATAAGATTTTTTCAAAGACAAAGAACAACTTTTAGATAATTGAATTAATTATCATTGGAAATTAATAATTTTAGAGTGAAATAAATATGTAAAATAAAATAAAAGATAGAAAAATATAATTTCGTCTATGGTGTTTCAAATAGCCCATAAGTAACACAAATTACAATGTCATTTGAATTTAAATGAAAGAGATACAGGGTAGACCATCCTAGGGGCAAAAATGGTAATTATGGGATTATGCACTTTAACAAAGATTTAGGTCAAACCAGTGGGATAATAGGTAATATTAATGACAATTAATCCTCTGAAATGATTGAAACACAAGGGTAAAAGGGTAGAAATCAAGTCACTATAATTTCTATAAAAGAATAAAAATAAAATTATGTGAAATGTTATAAATTTGGAAGATATGAAGGTTTGAATGATCCATGAGTGAGGGGTATGGATTCGGAGATCAATAACTCATTGATTTGGAGCCCCCAATCAATGAATTAATTCAATTCGATCTTTTCAATAAGGAGTAAACACATTTCATAAAATTCTTTCAAAAAATTACTAACTTACCCTTAAGAGTTTAATAGTGAACTAGGCCTAATCTCATATGATATAAAGAGGATTAGAAAATTAAGCACAAGTAATCATGAACTCCTTGAAACACTACAATCTCAAGTTCAATCAAGAAAAGGGGTGTACAATTCCTTAATAACCAAATTTATCCGTTAGGGTGCATACTCACATAACTCTTAAACATGACATAAATGATTGATCACTTGTCTTACTCATGGGCTAATTAAGACATCCATTTCACATCAAACACAATTAAAACATTAATAACTCCTAATGTATGTGTGGTGATTAATACAATGATGTAGTAAAGACAAATGAACTTAAAATGATCGAAAAGATTTTAAGGATGTTTAAGATCACTCCCTGAGCACCTTTGCAAGATCTTGGACATTTCAGAGGACATTTTAGCTTATCTAAATTTGTTGAAGAAAATCATCTTTAAAATATAAAACCCACCAAGATATGATCCGGGGACCCTTCAAATGAGAAATTCCCGTCATTACTTAACTTATTGTAATACCCAATGCTTAGGGGTATGAGTTTGAAGATTATACTCAAATCCTTTCAACAATTGAGGTTATTTAAAATGACCACATATGGATCATCGTGCTGGTGTAAGTTCGTGATCTTGGTGGTAAGAGTGATGATGAGAACGACAACTAGGTATGTGAGGAGTGTTGCATGTTCAAGACTCATGAGAGGATCAAAGATTGGAATTACTGCTCCCTAACATAGATAGTTGACAATGTTAGTCCGTCGGTGTGACTGAATCATGAAGAGTTTAATATTTGAAACATATCTACATAACATTAAAATGTACTTTTTTTGAAACTCTTACTTTTTTTTTGCCGAAAACATTTAAAAAAATATTTTTGCATGACAAATTTAAATTCAACTTTTGAAATGTAATTTGAAACAAATTCGTAAGTAAGTCACACAAACCAGGTTAGGGTATGCTCTCCAATGATTTCCTGGTTGGTAGCCTTTTGCCCTACATTGGGTCTCACATACATGAGCCTACGGAGTCCATTTGGGAAGAATTGTCAGAGCCTTTGGTCCTGATTCTGATCTCCCCCATAACTAAATTCTTACACCCTACTTCGATCTTTTATATGTAGCATCTAATTTTTTGCATACTTATGCTTTTCCTTGTGTTTTATTTAATGTTTTGCACATCATTATGCTATGATTATAATATTAACCTTGTAGCAGTGGCATGAGCCCCAATTACGCATATTTACTTTACTTTTACTGCACTTCTCTGCATTTTACAACATGTTTAATTTAGCGTACTTGCAAAGGCCCCTAGGGTAGAGAACAATATGACATATGTTAGGTGGAACCCCACAACAGGCCATGAGACTCAACATTAATTGCATGCTCACATATAAACCCTAAACTCAAAATCATCACGATAAGAAGCTCGGAGCAAGCTGCAAACAGACAGAGGACAACTTCAGAGGACGATCAAAGATCAACAATGAAATAGATCTACTTCAGTAAAGCATTCCTCGGTCATAAATAAAAAAATCACGTAGGACTTCGAGATTATTTGTCTAGTGCGATATAAATCTTCACTCCCTCTTAGGCTTTTGCACAATCTTGTTGTGCAATGTAAGCGCTAAATCTTTTTAGGATTTCGAGGTCATCATTCGGTACGACGTAAATCCTTCTAACCTTTTTAGGCTATTTGTATGCGCGGATAACATACAAATGTAATCCCTAATTTTAATAACTGGTAGAAGTAAACATCAAATAAATATCATTTCCAAAACATAAAGCCAAACAGTAGGATAGTAGGGAAGTCACTAGGGTTTCCTCGGATTCGTGATATCCCCTACGCTTCTTTTACTCCAGAAATAACTGTTTCTACTTGAGCCACTCCCATTTGATTTTCTATGTCCAACATAGAAAACCTCAACTTTGAAATCTTGAAGACAGAAACACTGATTTTATTCGAGTGTTTTCTTAAATGATTTTGGTCATTTGAGATGTAATTGACTTTAGTGGCATGTCTCTATAAAGAATTAAGAACCCATGTAAAATAAACTCTATCCAATCTTTATATTAGTTATGAGAACTTGTCGGTCACACATAAAAGGTTCGCATACCAAAATAGAGTCATAAATTTTTTAGTTTAAATGATTGAACCTTCTATCGAGTGGTGTGCTTATATTTCGAGATAATGCATCAATTTGGGTATTGTGCTCAATTATCTAAACTATCATATATATGGATCTATTTGATATCATTTATTTCAAAATTAAAATATTATTTTCAAAATCAAAATTACATATGTATATTAAGTTAAATTTAAATTATTTCTAAATTCTGACCAACATACATGTCTACATAGATGGTGTGAGATTGTTGACATATTAGATTTCAACACAAAGCATATAAAAATACACCGAAAAATGTAAATCTTATTGATAGAAGAAATACTGTTTTAAAGATAGATGACAGCTGATTAATCTGTCATAGAAATCTACCTAAAATTACTAAAGAAAAGCCAAATATCATTGTCATGGAAGCGTAGTCCAAACTTGTTAAGGAAACTGACCGGAGATGACTTGTTCCTTTTGTTTTTTGCTAGAAAATAATTTAAAAATTAATTTGGGTTTGATATGTTCAACTGCATTTTTAAAAGAGTTTTTTTTTAAAAAAAAAATCACAACATAAAATATGTGATGATGGAGATTTTCAGGTGGAATCATTCAAATGAAGGAATCTAGCAAGTTTATTTATATAATTATAGACTTGCTATTCTTAATTATGATAGATTAAATACATCCATATATTTAAGTGAAATACATTATATATATATATTCTTATAAGTCCGGAGGGAAATTTATTGATCCAAATGCACACCAAAGAAAACCTGAAAAAATATTACATCAGGAATCTGCACGTAGAACTACGTGCGGAGTCCAATGAAATTACGCCGTGGAGATGATTGACCCGGTAACACAAGAGAATATTCCCCTGATGTTATTTAGGTGTTATTGTGTTCTAGGAATATTCCCGGTGTTATAACACAATAACACATCAATAATAATTGAATAACACACAATAACAACTGAATAACACCAGGGGAATATTCTCTGGTGTTAGCGGGCCGATCACCTCCACGGCGTAATTTTATTGGACTCCGCACGTAGAGCTACATGCGGAGTCCTGATGTAATATTTTTTAAGAAAACCTAGGGTTTATCTACGTGCGGAGTCTTGATGCAATATTTTTTCAGAAAACCTAGGATTTATTCGTAAAAAAAATGGCTGATATGTAAAATGTTATTCATGTAAATCATCCTAAAGAAATTATAATAAAAAAATGGGAGAAAAATAGTAGACATATGCATGGCAGGAGATTAAATTAAGTATAATTATGGTCTGTATGGCCATAAAACTGAAGTGAATGCTGCAGCGATAAGCAATATATTTTAAAATCATCTATATAATCCATTTGTAACACAATCATAATTTAATCCATCGCCATCATCTTATTTAAGAACTCCATTCATGAGAATTAAGTATGCTTTGCTAACTTATTATTATCTTATTAACAAATAATTGCATTAAGAAATTAAAAATAATATATTAAAACCCTGTCAATTAATTTTATTTTCAATAGTTTTTTATATTGTAGATTTACACTAATCTTACGTACATCATAGCATATAAAAAATATTGAAATGTATTAATATTATAAATATGAGAAATTCAGTAGTTGAAATATTCAAAATCAAGTTCCTTCGTAACTGATCCAAATCTGTCATA